AATTGTAATGTTTTAGTTTAAAATTTTTACATGAATAGTGCACCTCTATACCTCTTAAACTGCTCATTATTCCAGCCCTGTAAAAAGGTGCAGTGCTCGTTCATTCTCTTCCTCGTCTTGTATATAGCATTTTACTAGGCATGGCTGGGTATAGCTAATTAGGTTTCTGCCAGTCCCCTGTGGACTGAAGTGGGCAATCGATGGTGATGGGGCACATGGGCTGTAGTTCAAAACATCTGCAGAAGGGTGAGTCCTTAACTGTGGTAAGTAAGAGACCGCACCTACCATGTGATGTACAAATGTTGTTTACTAAAGTTCAAAATTTGCACTGTGAAACCAGGTAGATCTATAGATGTGTCAGTGACCAGGTTCTTGTTTGCTACAGTTTACGTATAATTGAGTTTCTACCCTTTCTGCATCCATTTTACTAACACAGTGGTTCTTAACCCTGGTTCTGGAGAAACACAAGGTAAACCTTCCTGGGTATTGAGAGTTGTTTAGTCAGCATTAAGGAAGAAAAGTCCATCTAAGGATAGATTGGGGCCAGTATGATTAAAACAGAGTGGCATGATGGAGCAGATCTTAGCATTGCTGTCTTGGTGCACCAGGGTCCTGGGTTGAATTCTGCATTTGGAGTGCTATCTGCATGGAGTTTGTATGTTCTCCTTGAGTTCTAGTTTCCTCCAGGTGCTCCAGTTTCCTTCCTCATTCCCAAGACATACTGGTAGTTTAATTGGATTCTGGGAAAATTAACCCTACCTGTGAGTGTGAGCATGTGTGTGTTTGTGTTTGTGTCTGTGTCTGTGTCTGTTTGCCCTGAGATGGACTAGCGTCCCATCCAACGTGTATCCTGTCTTGTACATTGAATAAAGGGGATAGGCTTCAGTTCCCCTGCGGCCCCAAATTGGAAGAGTGGTTAGAAAATGGGTGGATGACTGAAATAGGGTATTTTTTTAACTAAGGACCGATTGCAAAAACAGTTAAGCAAGCAAGCTGATTAATTAAGACATGAGTTAGCACCGGTGGTTTAATAGCTCGGCTGGAATGAAAACCAGCAGGTACTGTGGTCCCCACTAAGATGACTGCATAGCTGTGTGTTCCTAGAAAGCTTGTGGATGTCAAGCGTAGCTCTGGATGATTGGCTATGTCCTGATGTACCAGGAGTTCAGGGTAAGAGTTGATCTGTTTATGAAGAGGGTGGGTATGTACATTGTCTCTTTTAGCAAGGGCACTGTGCTCTGTTGCCCACACTGTTGCTCATTTTTTGTATCTCAGGAGAAGAGTGAAATATGCACCGTAATACCTTATTCTTTTTGATCTGTGTAATTACACACCTAGACATTGCCTTGCATAAAATGTTGACAAGCTTTTACTGTCTCGTTTTTTAATTTATGCAATACATTTGCTCGCATTCAATTGAAGGTGGTAATGTTAGTTTCTTCTGAGAGGTCAGGCATATACAGTAGGTTTAGCGTTATCTACATTGTTGTTTGAAAGCAGTCAGGATGATGCCTCAAGGTGTCCACTTTGATGAGCGAATAACATAGGAAAGTCTTGTCTGCTTTATTGTCTATGGTACCTTGGATGCCTTTTCGGCACAGCTGTGTTAATAGAGCATATATCCCTGACCTCACAGATTTTGTTTGCAAGTTCTAACATGCAACCTGAAAGAGAAATTTTGATTAATGTGACATTCTGTCAGATTTGCACTGTAGATCACCATTAAGTGCATTATTATGTTATCTTTGAAAAATGTGGTCGGTTTCACCTGACAGATGATGGGTTTTCTTTCTGCAAGGGCAAAAACATGAAAAATAAAAGTCCGCTACGGCAGCTCACTGAAATACATCAATGTAAGTGTGAGACTTGACAGGTAAACAACTGCTGTTCTTTCATTTCCATTGAAGGGAGCATGCGTTAAGTGTAGTATTGCACAGAGATGATAAAATTAGTATATGACTAAAAATAGCTGTTTAGAATTATTATTTTATCCATTGTGATCTAGTTCTAGCTCACTGTATTTTTGTTTTTGTGCTGTCTATCCTTCACTGTCCAACGTTTTTGCACAAAATTTTATGTGGAACAAATGATTTCAGCAGCCCGATGTCCTGTAGTTGTTTAATATTTCCTAAGTGAAATTAAACAAAGCGGGTGTAATTTAGTAGGGCTGGCTGTTTTCCTCTAGAAGAATATCATTTTCTTGAACCTTTTAGGTTAGAAGGTAAGGTACTGTATATCTCAAAGCTTAAGTAATACTCTTTACTTCCTCTTCCTTTACTGTGCTGTTCTAAATCATAATATCCTAATTTAGTGAATGCATAATAGAGAAGGCCCTGTGAATGTTTAATTAGCCTGAAAATAACCAATGAAATAAAGTTTCCTTTCTTGATATTACACAGATTGGACAAACTATGAACTTTTTTTTAATTTGTATGTGGTGACACTTAAAACTTTAAACTTCATGAGTTAAAGACACCTCATTATGCTCTAATGATTAACGAACTGCAGGGGGATATTTCCTTGATGTCTCGTGCAGTTGTGTGCTGCTGCAGTATAGTCCAGACATTGGCATGTACAATATGCACCTTTAGTTCCATCTTTTCTTTTACCAACCATCATTTCCAGCCCTCTGCAGCCAATATCAGCAGTCCAAATCCATGGATCAATTTCACCAAAATGGAACCAAAAAGCCACTTAATGGCCAGCTCAGATACTGTGAAAATAAGAATATAAGGAAGTTTATGAATGAGAGGATGCCATTTGGCCCATCTAGCCCATCTTATTTAATAGTAGTTAATTGATCCAGGGGTCTCATTCAGCCATTTCTTGAAAGAAGCCAGGTATTGGCTTCAACAGCTTGGATTGAGAGCTTGTTCCATACTCCAACAGATGTTTTGGTAAAGAAGTGCCTGCTGTTCTTGTTTTTAAATAGAGATTAACTATAAACTACCAAATAAACTGGATGGGCCGAATGGCCTCTTCACACTTGTGTTCTTATGTTCCATAGAAATTGAAAATCAACCTGTTACATGTAAGGCAGGGAAAAAGAAGATATATATTTTTGTTTGTTAAAAGATGACAGTATTTGTTCTGAGTTTAATACACAATGAATAACATTTGGGGAATACTTGTCTCTGGAAGACTGTTTATAAACCTTTATAAAGAAAAAAATCAGAGTCTTCAGTAACTTAATTTGGATTTATTTGGTTGTTAGCTTTGTTCTTCACATATTTAATGGCTTGGGTGCCCCTTAAGATAATTATTTTGAAGATCCTTACTCATTATGTTATTTATGTAATTTCACCACTGCCTTAGAAGGTGTCAGTTTGAGAATGAGAAAACACCGAGATTTTTCAGAAAACATCAAGTCAGAGGAGGGTAAGGAAGGCCAACAGAGTACTTGTGCCAGATATAAATTTGGAAAATAAGAAGCCATAATCCCAAGACCAGCCCTCCAGCTGTTGTAAGTGAACTTAAAAGTAACGGGCAGATTTATCACTGTCCCTGGTCCATCATTTTTTTTCACTCCTGTGCTCCCTGTTCCAGCTTGACTCTTAAACACCCCAGCTGGAAGTTGAACACACAAAAGGCAGATTAAACTGGGCCAGAACCAATCTGGACAAGTCGGATCATCGAGGAAAACATGGGAGGTGGTGTGAAGAGGCTGATAATCAGCGGAAAACTTTGCTTATGGAAATGTATCCACCCAAGGGGTTGATTGATTTAGTCCTGTCCTGTTGAAGAAGGTTACAAGAATAAATATCCAAAATTCGACACTGGCCAAGGTCATGAAGAGAAACCTATTGTAATACTGGCTTATGTGGCAGTCATCACACCTGTAATCTGATCACTGTGTTCTAGCTCGGGTGTTCACTCTGGTCCAGACCTCTGTTGGAGAAGATTCTGTACAGTTTCAGGGAAACAAAATACTTTTTCAACTTATGTGTTGTCTGCCATGGCAAAGTGCATTTTTATGGAGAATGTGTTGTATACAGTATGTATGTGGAGTACATATGTATATCTAGCTTAGTGATGCTAATAATTGTGATACTAATGTTAAGTCATAAAAGCCATCTCAAACAATAAAAATTATCAAAATTGAATTCCTGCCTCTTAGCACATACTTTTGTACACTTTTTCCCATCTCATTGGTAAATTTGTCTTGCAAGTTTATTTATAATCGTTTTTGGACAGAAACGAATTCATATTGTGATTGAAAATGTACATGCTCTTGCTATTTCTTTTCTTCAGTTTGTTTCGTAGTAGTATTATGGTTTATAAATTTGTATTTCGGTGTAAGAAGGATTATTGTAACCTTCCAGAAACTGAATTATACGCACTTACAGACATAATAATGTTGCCACTAATTATAATGATGTATGGTCGTGTCAAAATAATTCTTGAAGAATGCTCAAGCAAAGACTAGAGGATATTCCAACAAATCTAACTGGTTGTATAATTCATGCCATTTCTTAAAATAATGAAAATATCACACACATGGGAAAGAGTTTTAAATTCTGATATCAGGTCATCCCCGAATGAAAGGTGTCATTTTATTCTTCCCTGGTAAACCTTTGTAGCTTCCTTCTCAAGTTATTACATTCAGTTCATACTGCTGTTCTTATTCTTTGCTTTGAAGGATTACCATCTCTGTATTTGTATCCTCCTGAGTCATCCCCATCAGTCAGATTCCTTTCCCAAACAGCTCCCTCTAGTGGGTTCACCAGCAATCCGGATGCACATGTCAGTAGAATTTGAGGCTTGTTTCAAATGCTGCTAAGCTACCACTCTGCAGCTACTCTGGAATCTCAAGCAGCATGTAATTACCTTTCAACTTATTAATGTATATGACAAACCATGCTTCACTTAAAGAAAAGAAGGTCTCTACATTTGAAATAGTGCTACAGACGTTCGTAATAATAGGTAAGCGTAAGCAGTTAAGCAGCATTGTGTTTCCTTGGAGGGAAAAAAACTGTGTTGCTTTTATTTCTCGTCTTCAGGTTCTAAAGTCGGTGCTCCTGTTCCCAACAATTGAACGCATGGCCCACTCCCCCCAAGGCAAGCTAATGACGCCCGTTCTCTGCAGACTGCGGTATGCCATGTATGTCCCTGTCTTCCTACTCTCATTCCTGCCCGAGAGCCTCAAAGTCTCCATGGTGAGGCTGGCGCTCCGAGGCCTGCAGTCTCTGGATGAGTCTACCATGCCGGCTTCCGTGAGCCTCTTCAGCGTGGACTGCGTAGGTAAGCTGGCTCAGACAGAGCAAGGGCTTTGCACTCGCCTTCTGTTTGTGGGTAAATCAGGTGGTTGTTGCTTTGCTCTGAGGTGCTCTTACCTTATCATGTCACTGTATATACTGTATGTACAGTATATTCATTATCCTGACTGAATAGCCAAACACAGACTGTTGTGAAAATCACACCTACTGTATGGAAAAAATGAAAATGAAGTTTGTTTCCTTTATGATTTACACTAAAGAATAATATCTTGATTTGATGTCATAGGATATTAGAATTTAGGGATTGCGTTCATAGTATTGAATTAACTTTTTACATTACTCTTCTGTTTTTAGTTGTTAAACCTGCAAGAAGCCTGGAATTAGCTTAGCTTATAAACTTCACAAAAATGTACAGTAATTTGTTGCAGTACAAACGATTCCTTGCGTTAATAATGCTCAATAAATGGCACTCGATGAGAAAGATATAGTGAATGTACTATATATCTATGGATTGTTTAGTGTGTATATTAACATACATGTGCTGTACAGTGTATAAACTGTATAGTTTTGTTTTCAGGAGTTCCTGAAGCTAAGAATAATAGCACTAAGAAAAAGATTATAGTTACAGCAGTAGACAGAGATTCAGATAGGAATTCTGGAAAGTGATGCTTTTTTTATTGTATTTTATTAATACAATTCATATTTTAGCATCTACCATTTGAGTTGCTTTATATTTCTGTATATTGTCTTGGGTATGATTCTTCTTTAAATTCTACATTTGATTGTGTGTACTATACTTATTATAATATTAATTATTATAATTATTATTATGATGGAAATCATTTTTCTGCTATAATAATGAACACAGTAGTAGAAGTCTCAAGACAATAGTTATTTTGTTTTCAGTGTCAGCACAGAAAAGAGAGTGCATTTGTCAGAAATGGCTGAGCATGACAAAGAAACACGTTTTAAGATTATTTCTTCAGGCACCTTCATAATTAAATGCATTGCAGCTGTGGCACAACTACATATGTTTGTCAAAAACAGATTAGCATGTTAATTGTAAAACAAAATGTTTTTGTAAAGGAAACAGTCAATTAGACCAGTTGTTTTTCTCTGAAAAGTAGGCTGCAGATGTTTAACCAACAGACAGTGTGGTGATGGGTGTTCCTTTTCATCTAAAGTCTGATTTTGTCTCCAGTCTGTTTTCATTTTATTTCATTTTCCATCTGTTCCTTTCATTTGTTGTTCACATTTCGAAAATAATCATTAAGGCAAAGCACAAAATGCTTCAATTTTTTTCACATTCACATTGTAATTTATGTCATATATCAATCCGTCTCGGGTGTTCCTTTGTCACTGAAATGAAAACCTTTTAGAATTACATAGTCTTTGAGGTATACTGTAGTTAATTGTAATTTCTAACATTTTTAATGTTACCCTCTTTCTAAACATTGAAAATCTTGAATGACACTCCAAGAGGCTTATGGCATTCATGTCAGTTAATGATATGGGGGACAGCTTTCACTCTACCATAATCTACTCTGTTGCAAGTAGGAGAAACTGGAAATTGACATTTTATATGACATATTTATGAGGCAATAAGTCATTTTCAAAGGTTAAGTAAATGATAAATTCACAAACCTCCTAGAAAAATAGGTATCTTTATGGTTTTGATAAGTGAAGATGTATTTCAATATCATGACACATGATGGTTATAATTATATGATAATTCTGACTGGAATCTATTTTTTTTCCAAAATAACTCCCAATTCTAAATCACTGTCAGATTTTTCAGATGTTATTATAGTGACTGACTGTACATTTTCTATCCCCTGACTAGTGCAAGGTACTAAAACTTTTATCACTTTCTAGCTAACAGTGTATTTCAGTTGACAGTGCAGGGATCGGAGGAACTTAAGTGATCTATGATATTCTCTTCCAAGGAGTTTGTAAAATGTTAGTCGTTGAAGTTTTTGTCAAGATACTTACTAAGAGCAAAAAAGACATTTTGCTTGCATGTTGTCCTGTGTCAAAAGATGAATTTTCCTGCATGGTTTGTTTATAGGGTTTGAATTTTGTGGTGCTTTTATTTAATGTTTTGTCATGAAAACCATTTTAAAACATTTTTTGGCCCATTTTTAATTTATTTAAATTGATGAATCTCTTGTATGTTTAAAAGACTAACTTGGATTGAATCAATTGACTGAAGAAGGCAAAACTGACAGCTTTTGAACTTTTAATATGTCTTAGCTTATTCTGTATATAACTATGATTGATTTAACCAAATATGTTAATCTGCCTTACATATACACACTGTAAATACAGTATATACGTACTGAGGCACTTTTCCGTATAAACGGTTTTGTTTATTTTACTGTTTATGCAGTTCAATTTGTATGTACCGTAAGTGATGTGCAAGAAACTTTGTATTATAATGCATAATATATTTTTACTATTTTTTACTAATATGAATCAGATTTCCAGTAAGCCTTTGAAATATATCAAAGAGTATTGAATGGTAATTATAAAATTGACTAACATTTTTTTCAGATGGGGGGGGACAAAAGATAACAGAAATTGATTGACAAAAAAAGATATTTGGGGAGCAAAGACTGAGGAAGAACCAAAGGGAAAAACATTATCGGGTTTTTTACAGATTCTGCCTAAAATCAGAAACAAATCGGCAGAGAAAGAAGTGACCACATTAGCAGCGATGTTGGTGTTATTGCATCACAGAAACCCAGCCGACCAAAAACGATGAAGAGGAATGTATCATTAGTGGATACACTTTATTCCATAGGTATAGGAAAGTCAGACGGAGAAAGGTGTAGCACTACATGTCAAATAGAGTATTCATCTTCAGGAACTTAAGCTAGAGGAATCTGGAGTCTCTGAATCTATGTGGTCCAGGCTAATAAAAAAAAATATTCTAAAGGTACAGTGTTATATGCTATAGACCACAAAATTCAGATGTTGATTATAATAGTAAGTTGTATTTATGAGAAGCTACAACTTTTCCAGCATCGATTGTGATAGATCTATAGCAATAACCAGCAGTAGAAACTGAAATGTTAGACATGGTTAATGACTGTTTTCTTGCCCAGTTTTCAGAGCACCTACTGTACAAGAGGAATTGCTTGTACAGATCTCTTTCTCTTCAGGCAGTAAAGACAGAGTGAGACAAAAAGAGGTCAGGTAACCATTAGGGAACTGCAATCATAATATAGTGTGCTTTGAGGTATATTTTTAAACTGTTTAAGTTGCATCCAACGCAAAAGATTACAATTTCAAGAAAAGTCACCTTAAAATGAAGTAGACACCATTTAAGAGAAGTAAAATAGGATAAGATAGATATGAAATTTGTGGGAAATAAATGACAGTGGTTTACTTGACGCACAAAACAGTATCCCAAATGGTTCAAGAATATAAGTAGGACAGACAGAAAGAGAAAGACAGCATCACGTTGGTGCAGTATTTATCACCAGGGCCCTGGGTTTGATTCCTGGGGTGCTCTCAGTGTGGAGTTTGTATGGTATCCTGGTGTTCCCATGGGTTTTCTCCAGGTACAACAATTTCCTCCCACATTCCAAAGACATACAGGATGGTTACTTGGCATCATGGAAAACTGGTCCTGATGTGTGTTTGTGTCTGTGTGTGCCTTGCGATATACTGGCGTTCTGTCCAGTGTGTGTCCTGCTTGCACCATTGCTTGCTGGGATAGGCTCCAGCTCCCTTGCACCCTAGGTAAAAAAAGAAAGAGTACTGTGCATTGTACAAAGGTAAAAAGGACTATTAGAAATTAATAATCAAGTGGAGACTAAAATAAATAATAAAAAGTTCTTTCATACTGCAAGAGCAAAAGAACTGTCCAGGATGGACTGTAGTTTATTTCAAGAAACAGCTGTATGAGATCTTGGAATCAATTAACTACTAAATACCTGAAAGGCTAGATGGACTGAATAGCCTCCTATTGTTTGTATCCTTACAGTATGTTCTTATAAAGTATGTTGTTTTTTTTATCATGATGGTACACATACTGTAAATGTATAATTATAATTAATAGAGAGATGACAGGCATAATTCACAATATGTGTTTCTAGCAGATTAAACTTCCTAGAGTATGTTTATTTAAAATTCTGTTGTTTCATATCCTTTTAATTAAGTCAAGTAAAGTATTTGTCTAAATACTGATAAATCAGAAGAACACAATTTACCTTTGCGTACTATTTTTCATCCATTAGGAAAAGGTAGTATACGTGGCAAATCATTAATTCTAATTTGTAAAATCCAGATTGGAAAAATATTTTTCTCTGACTACCATGTATTATTTTAAACTTTGAGTTATGGTGAAAAAAATCTGCTAATTATACAAACCTTATACAATATTGGCATTGGTTCTACACATTATATTGTCAAGTGATTCATTACAAACAAAATTAGTTTTGAACAAAAATACAAATATGCTAACTGTTGTTTTTAAAATGTTTCTTTTTTAAAAGCTTTTATATTGTGTATAACCAATGTAATACTATGTAATTTATTTAATAAAAAATATTAACAAAGCATTTTGTACATTGACCTTTCTCTAATATATTAGGTTTTTGTGGCTTTCTTCTAGTAATGGGAAATGTTGAAATCTTTTTTGCTGAGCATAATATTAGCTAAGTTACAAATCACAGCCATTATTAAAAGCAGTAGCACCTGCGGTTTCCAGCTATTTAATATAGTTCATTCTTGCTCTTTTAAGAGCTTGTTTTTGCTGGATCAGGTTGAGGTAGTCATAAAGAGATTTGCCAACATCTTGTTTTTTTTCCCCACAAAAGTAGCAACAGTAGGCAGCAGAAGGAAATATCACAGTGACCCATGTACACAGCACAAGACAACACAAATTACTTCTTTTCGTTCAAATACTAGTTTGTACTTACACAGTTTACGGATTGTAGATGGTAAACCGTCATTTCTATAAGTTACCAAAACAAAAAAAAGTCCTGATTTTTGAGAGAAGTGGCTAAGCAGCATATA